CCAGACCATTCGGTCTCGCTGTATCCAACGCAAGACCCGTAGGCATGGCTGTTGGCAAGACCAGATCTTTCATCGGATTCTGCAATCATCTGCCAGTCGGTAGACCTCCCTTCAGTGCTAGCGGCGGCGGCGGTCGAGCCAAAAGGAATCGAGCCGGTCAAGGATGCGTGGAATCCTCGTCAGGCGCTCTTCTGCCTGCGCCAAGCAACGCAGCCAGACCAAATTGCGACAATGAAGCCGTAATGACAGAAGCATCGTCATGCCACCGAGGCAAAGCGAGAGGAGATGATAAAGTCGACGATCTTGCGACATTCGAGACCAACTCGAGGATAGCGGAGAAATCGTCCAATCGGGCCGACTACCTCTCGGGCAGACAGCCGCAGTCGACGACACAAACGTCCGAAGAAGATGTATCATCTGCCCATCAGCTTGTCCTGACGGCGGCAACTAACACCTTTTTGCTCTCCTCTTCACCCACCCTCACGGACGCCTCACTCTCCTCTGCCTCAGCCTCCTGTTCGCCGTCAGCCTCGTCGGTCCGAACGCCGAGAGAGTCGAGAGAAAAGGGGTCTCCTAACACCGTTGCCATGACACCGGCCTCTTCTGTTGGCGCTGGCAGTGGACCATTGCTGCCGGACCCCAGCAACCAGCCTCGGCGACGTGTCTGTAGAGGCAGTGAGGCCTGGCCGACAATCTATCCCATGACAACTGGTCTCTTTGACTGTTCTAGGACCCTACCGAGGCCCGGCAACTGCTGCCACGGCGCCTCCGGACCGGCTCAGCCTCAAGCGACAAACCCCGCCCCTTTCAGCCCGTCTTCCTCGAGTCTGCCAGCCTCCGGTTCTCCCAACACTCCGGTCACTTTGTTGGCTCCCTTGGCTCCGTTGCCACCTGACGCCCAGATGGCCTCGGCGTCTGCAGCCCTGGCCGGCCTTGCCTCCTCTCCTCTGTCCGGTGACGGGGTATGCGCAATGACCGACCAAATCACACCCACTCTCTCGGCACCACATCCTCCGCATGTGCATTCTCTGCCGCCTTCCCTGCCTCTTTCGGCTCATCTTCATCCTACGCCTTTGCCTCCACTGCCTATGCGCTCTTATCCACTCACCATGGACGACCAGTTTCTGCAAAATGCAGGATTTTATATCGGACCCCCGCCAGAACCTATAGGCCTCAATTTGAAGCCGGCCAGTGGCGCTCCTCTACCGCCTCTCATTCAGGTGAGTAGTATGCTCTCGAGCAACAAACTTTTGATGGCTCCAAAAGTTAATTTAAAAAAACAAACAAAAAAAAACATTAAAGCCTCCATAGAGAAAAGCGGAATTTTGGAGAATCACCTGGTGAGTTAGATACCAAGATTAATCCTTTAAGACAACGTTGTTGAGAAGACTCTCACTTCCTATAAAAGTGCATGATGAAGGGATACTTTGGTTGATCCTCAGTTTTCTCCAGCCGTGTTTGCCTTTTTTAATATAACATGTGTGCTAATACAGTTTACGGGACATCCTCCTTCGATTAGATTGGAATCGAGTGAAAAGTTCCTTCTTCATATGATGGATATCCTCATTGTAAATAAACACTCGGGTAAAAGTCACTAGTAAAAGAATGTATAGCTTTACCAAAAATGTATATTTATATATAATGATTTGGTTAATTCTCTTTCATATTAGTTATGGTAACTTTACTTGAGTATGTGTGTGTGTGTGTGTGTGTGCGTATGTTAACGTCTATACGCAATACCGGTCCTAGATCAAAGTGATTACAAAAGCTTACTGTCAGGCTCGATTCATCAAGGCTTAATGATCCAGGTAAAAGCCCGACCGAGATTGCATTGGCTGCCGAGCAACTCTAGTTGAGATGGCGTGATGCAAGTTTGTACGAATGCGAAGACAACCGTCATAAACCGTCAGTTTAAGGTCATTACGATCTAACAACCCAAAGAAAAGCATGACTGAGATTGCGTAATCGCGTCCGTTTTGTTTGGTTTATGAGCTTAATATGTCGTTTGTAAATGTCGTGGTAACCATCACTGGGCTGACAGGTTGA